ATATATATATTACACTGAAAGTACTCTCTTTGTATTTTCTTCCTATTCGATGTCTCTCGTTTTTTTTTCTTCCTCCTTTTCTTCTTCCTTTTTTCTTCAACACGCTTAGTGAGTATGGCGAATCAAGCGAACGGGGTCATGGCTAGAGAAAAAATGTTCTATTCTACCACGTCGATATCGTCCCAATCAATTTTGGATTTACAACAAAACTCCAAATCCAATTGCTTCTATATTCTTAGGTGGTGCTACTAGGGGGATTCTACCCTACATCCATCGTGCGAACATTTTCCCGATCGATTTCTTTCACGAAAGCTAGGGTAAGACGAAATAGGAAATTCGAGAAGAGGAGATCTAACAACAAAAGGAAAAAAGAAGAAGAAGAAGAATAGAAAAGTAAAGAAGAAAGAATGTTCGCAGGGGTGGATCAGGCCGCACACGCGGTCCTATAGAGTAAGGTGCGGTGCGGCGCGGGACGCGACAACCCCCGGAAGAGTCCGCTGGAGAGGGAAAGAACGGCGGAGGGGCGTATTGATCCACCAGCTGCGCGTTCTCTCACCCCCACTAACAACACCACCTTCTCTTTCTCCGTTCATACATCGAAACACGTTCGCTCGTTTCTCTTCGACTCTCTCCCAGCAGGCAGCAGGCAGGCAGCAGGCAGGCAGGCAGGCAAGCACTCTACTTGCCTCGGGACCTTCTCTTCGCGATCGTGCATCCCCTTTCTCGTCTCGCAAGCTCAACGGCACACCCCAACCAGCGTGCAGAGCACCCTCTTTCTCTCTCTGACCGTGCCCGCGAACCTGCACGATATATCCAAAGCCGAACTCTTTCTCTTATACTTTTATTCTATTTCCTAGCTTTATCCATTTTATTCCATCGTTCCTGATGTTTCTTCTGCATCCATCCCTGTGTGAATCTTATCATTTTTTTCTTTTATTCTCGCGTTCCTTATTCACAGAATTTCAGGATAATGTTGTTCGCGTGATCATCCAAAGAAGAAGCCCTTCCCCCTTTTCTCGAGGATCGATATGTCACGAAGAATTGAAGAGAAACATGAAGAATTAGTTAATCAGATTTCTATTCCATGTGTTGCTGATGGAAACGTAGAATTGTATCGTTTGTACAATTTCAGCTAGACTTTCGAATTATTCTCCATTTTCTTTCGACTCTCACCAACATTTGGAATCGTGTTAACTGATCGACATAACGACGGTTGGTAATGATCGATTATGTCGGTAGCCATCCACAATTCGATTATCACTGGTATATAATTAAAAACTAATAGGCAGGAAATAAGTTTTCTTTATTCGTATACTTTGAGTATATAATAAAAGACAGACCTTGAGAATCCGGGGGTTTCTTAAGTCGAAAAATCGTGGCTCCGAAGGTATTTCGAATCGATGATAATCTCCGAGTCTGAAATGCAAATAAACAAAAGCTAATTTCTAATCGTTCAAGTTGATCATTCCAAAGGACTTACGTTACATCGATTGTAGTCACAAACATCCTGTGATAGCACATGAAAGAGATGGCAATCAATAACGCTGCATTAATTGCAAACAGTGGTATGAACTGAAACATACAACACGAATATGCTTAAAGAAAAATAGTTTATCTCGCGATTAGTAGATCAATCTAGTTCCCCGTATGTGTATCAAAGTTATTTCATTGAAATAATAGGAATACAAGTTGTCTCTAGTTGATCTGGGCGTACTAACAAAACCCTGGGAATTTCTGTTTCAGCGCCGGCATGGAGGCAGCGAACGGTGCTATCGAGCACGATTTTCACAATGCTTTGGTACCAATAAATGGCAGCCATTCTGGCAGCTCTGGTAGAAGTACGCCAAACGGAGGTGATCCAGCACCAGGGAAACTATTTGTCGGTGGTCTGTCGTGGCAAACCAGTAGCGAAAAACTCAGGGAATATTTTGGAATATTTGGGACTGTTACCGATGTTCTCATCATGAAAGATCCCGTTACACAGGTCGGTTTATTAAACATGACTCTCTCGAGGAATTAGAAGGAGCGATCGCTGTATACACGAGGCTGTTTGCAATTCATTTAGCAACAAAAATACAAACTTATTCTCATTGGTAATAAAAAAAGATCAAATTAGTAGAAAGAGCAGCAGCTTCGTGTATGTGCTCCCGAATCGACCAATTTTTCGTCTCTTTCTCGATAGGTCAAATCGTACATTTAAATCAGTTCTTTCCTTGTACCTTCCAAGTATCTAATTTCTATATATATATATATATGTACAAGGCGCGCGACAAGCTCGTTTTCAAGGAGATTCGATGCACCAGTTTCTATTCCTTTCACTTTTGCACGAGACTTTATACAGTAGAAAGTAGAAAGAGAGTTGTACTAATCGATGTAACTAATAGCTGAGAGAGTATAAAGGAAGTAGAACGTAATAGTACAATGTATATTGACCGTAAAAAGTGACAAAGGGCAGAAATACATATATATACATATATATGAAGATGCATATATATGTATGTATATATCGAAAGTTTGCTATACACGTAATTGGGAGAAGACGTTTCGCGTAGGGGATTCGAGATTACTCACGAGCCGTAATTGATATTTTCAAATTTTATTCTCCTTGTCTTATATTTAACCCTAGAATGTTTGTCTTTAAATTAGCTTGGAAAGCCTTGCATGTAAATGGTAGTTTGGTAGCATTAGCTAATTGTAAATAACAACAACATTTTATATATACATTTTATATAATATATATATATATTTATTTGTAATACGACTACTTTTTCGATGCAGTTAGAATCAGGATATATAATGGATACGGAGGCACACATATGCATATATAGGGTATATATATAGGGTATGTGTGTGCATTTCGACGATTGGAAATCGTTCGGTGAAAAAAGAGGATACGTGTTCTCGAGTTTCCGCGCGATACGCAATTATTATTGGCCAGGTGTTGTCGAGCGGTGAGTTTGAATTTTAGGGAGCAAAATATAAATAAAAAAAAAAATAAGAAAACGGAAAGAGACAAAAAGAATAAAAAGTCCCAAAACAAAAAAAGGTAGAGAAAGCGGACAGTCGTGCATCGTGGCCGTTCTGGCTTTATCGGTTACAGCGTAGTCGTGGGTTCGGCTTCATCACGTTTGCCGAGCCCGGCAGCGTCGACAAGGTGCTGCAGCGTCCGGTCCACACCCTTGATGGTAAGAAGATCGACCCGAAGCACGCGACCCCGAAGAACCGCGCTAAGCAGGCTAATCGGACGAAGAAGATCTTCGTCGGCGGGGTCAGTCAGGAGACGAGTAGCGAGGAAGTCAAGGCCTACTTCAACCAATTTGGCAAGGTCGAGGAAACGGTGATGCTAATGGATCAGCAAACGAAACGACACCGGGGTTTCGGTTTCGTCACGTTCGAGAACGAGGACGTCGTGGACCGCGTCTGCGAGATCCACTTTCACACGATAAAAAATAAAAAAGTCGAGTGCAAGAAGGCTCAGCCGAAGGAAGCGGTTCAACCGGGCGCCCTGGCCCTCGGTAAGAGAGTGGTCCTGGGTGCGTTGGGCGTCAGGTTGGCGCCCCAACCGCCGCTCCCCGTGACCGCGGCGGCCTCCCAGCTGGTGGCCGCCCAAGCGCAGGCCCAGGTTCAGGCAGCGGCAGCGGCCGCGGCCGCGGCCGCCCAAGTACAAAACGCGGTGGCCGGTTACGGCAAGTTGTTCGCCAGCGGCTATCCCGCAT